ATTATATAGTTTGTATTTATAAGTGCTGAAGTTTTTGTCTTTTTTTACTTGAACTTTGTTATTGTTTGAAACTATTATTGTTAACAGTTTTTTAAATAGAGGCAAATATAAGATTTTTTCTTCTTTCTGCCACCTTTCATGTAATTTGATTTGTATTTTTTATGTGAATTTGTTTTGTTTTGTTTTTTAAATTAAATGACTAAAAAACCTTTTCCTGTTTGATGGGTTCTGATTAATCTACTAACTGGATCAGGACACGGTGTCAGATCTGCACACCTTCATGTAGATCTCTCTCAGGTTGTAGTACAGGACCCTGCAGGACAGGCAGCCGAAGCGCAGGTAGGGGCTGAGGCCCGTGGGACTGGCGTACAGAGAGCAAGTCTTGACCCGGGTGCTGGCGACCCACACCTGAGGAGACGGAACCAGAGAGGTCAGGGGGTTCACCTCCAGAACCGCCACCCATCATCAGCCTCCAGCAGCTGCAGCCTTACCTTCCTGTCCAGGTGTTTGCCCAGTCGCTCCAACGCCTCGGACTCTCCCCCCCGCCACACAGCTGGAGGCAAGCCCTCCGTCCTGAAACCTGGACCCACACAGAGCGGTGCTTAGGTTCATCCTAACCCTAACTGTTAACATTTCTTCCAACATGAGGACAGGAGACATGGCAGTGTTACAGACGTGTTTTATATGATGTGGCACACCCAAAGAAAATAAGCTGACCACATCCGTCTGTTTATTGTTTTGTTATTTTCATGTTTGTTTTATGTAATAAGTAATGTTGTTGGATCACTCTCGCTCTGAGATGGACTAACGGGCGCGTGAGACGGACCGTTACATGTGCTCCACTGAGAGGGACGCTCTTACATTGGTTTTTTCCACTTCCTGTTGTTGGATTGTTGATCCACTTTTGTCCTTTTTTTTCTGACTCAGAACTTTCAGAACATGAAAAACTTTAATCGTTCTCCTGATTGGAACAGATTTTAAGCATTTTGATGCTGAATCAACAGAAAAAACTTCTCGTCCCCCAGCAATAAAAATAAAAGCTGTGCAGACCACAGCTGCCTCACAGCAGCCAGGCTCAACATGAGGCCTGTAGTAAATGAATAGAATAGAATAGAATAGAATAGATACAGCGTTTATTGTCCCGCGACGAGGAAATTTAGGTGTAAAAGCAGCAGCAGATACATCAGTCCACATTTTGCTCTGTGACTTTATCAACTGTAGCAATAATAGCAGAATTTAAAAAAAAAAAAATAATAATAATGATAATAATAATAATAATAATGACTGTGCAAGACAATAAATCCAGTGTGATGACGTGTGGAGCTGCTGCTCACTGACTCAGGTGTGAATCAAAGCTGTTCAGGTGTTTGTGGAGCTGCTCACCCAGCTCCTCCAGGGAGGGGATGCTGTAGAGCTGGTCGTGGTTGTCAGATATGTTGGTCAGACATCTGCTCATCTGCTGCTGGCTGACGGGAGCCAGGGGTCTCCTGGGTAACTCCAGCCGGCTCACGATGGTCTGAAAGCGCTTGAAGGTCAGCGGGGGGCTGTTGTTGTTCATCTCGATGATCCTGGAACACGAAGAAGAGGCTGCAGCTCAGCTCACGTCTTCCTGAAGAACTCCAGGAACACATTTAAATGTTTTAATATTTTACTGAAGAACTCCAGGAACACATTTAAACATGTTTTAATATTTTACTGAAGAACTCCAGGAACACATTTAAATGTTTTAATATTTTACTGAAGAACTCCAGGAACACATTTAAATGTTTTAATATTTTACTGAAGAA